ACACACACACACACACACACACACACACACACACACACACACACACACACACACACACACACACACACACACACACACACACACACACACACACACAGAACAATTTGATACATTTCCCGCTCTTATGTGCCCATCCCCCCACATGGATCACACCTGGCGCACGCAATACATGTTCAGTGTCTATTCTCTGTATATTTACATTTATGTTCTTTGTGTATTTACTGCAGTTGTTCATGTACACCGGTAGTCTGATACAATATTTACAGTTTGAAAGGATGTTAAATGACATTTGTTGATGATTAATGGTTTTTGTGTTAATGTAACAGCAGTTGAAACAGGACCGGTCAAATTTTACCGCAAACACCAAAGTAAGGGGGGGGAGGAGAGGAAGACAATAGGAGGGTTAAGATATCAGCATAAGAAGCCTCCCCAGCTGCAGCCTTTCGGATCTCTGACTAGCTCATTGGGCCAAAATCAATCATCAAGTCATCATCGGAGCTGTCATGATAAAATAAATGGCTTTTTAATATGCTGCTGGTGCTGTTGTCAACATTGCTTCTTTTCTGTGTATCTAAGATGCAGGTTAGCAGTTTCCACCAGAGCCTCATCATCTTTTCCCCTATTCCAAGATGAACACTGGCACAATGCTTTTTTTCTCTCTTTCTCCTCTCCTGCTGTCCTCCTCCCTTCATGGTGCACCAGTAATTGCTGCATCGCTTTTGGTCATAATAAGTTTGCCTTGCAATGGATATGCAGATGATGTCTCTCTTTCCTCCTCAGGGCCGGGTACAAATCGAAAACGGGGCCCTCTCCATAGCTGCTTTAAACCTGTCCGATTCAGCGATGTATCAGTGTGTGGCTGAAAACAAACATGGCATTATTTATTCCAGTGCCCAACTAATGGTGTTAGGTAAGATTGCATCCCTCCCTCTGCTTTTGTCCTGCTTATCTGACTGTGCGTTTGATCATCTCCTAAGATAAGAACCAGGATCCTGCTATCTCCTCGGCAATCAGTCTGCAGACTCATTTGATGTCATTATGGGCTCTGCCAGCAGAAAATCTGAATCTGATGGAGTGTCTCATTTTACTTTCGCTCGTTTCATCATATTGATTTGGATACTACAAACGCATTACTTTGCGGCATTGCACATGCTTTCTCATGTAGATGGGTTATTGATTTATTTGCAAAGCTTTGATGACTTCCAACTGACTGGCTCGATGACAAATCCATTTTCTGTCCTGATGCATGTGATGACACTTGGGGGTCCAAATAATGGCTGACAAAATGTGATGATGAGTGTGGGCAACAGCCAAAAGCTGTGCAGGTTGGAAGCATGCTGAGGGTGGATTAAGTGATAAAGCATTGAAGGGTGGGGTGGCAGGCGGGTCCATATAGCCTTGAGCCAAAAAGGCATTTCTACTGAGTTCACGCTGAGGTTTTGAGCCGCTCCCACTAAGAGCTGAAAGGAAGTCGATGTCGATACGGCACGGCTGATCTGCAAAGGTACAGGTTGCTTATAGTTTTGAATCTTACACCTTTCTCTGCCCCCCCAACACACAGCTTCACCTCCCAGTTTCTCCAAAAGTCCATTAAGGGCCCTGCTAAAAGCCCGCTCAGGAAGCGGAGTCACTCTGGAATGCAAGCCCGAGGCCTCACCCCCAGCAATTAGCCTGTGGAAGAAAGGGAATGAGATCCTGCAGAGAAGCGAAAGGTAGGATAAAAGCCCAAATGCATATCCCTCAGCTTTTATTCACATTCACTGCAAAACGACTTGTTTGAATAGTATATTTGGTGTTTTGTGCAGCTGTATAAAAGGGAAGGCTAATGAGGGGAATGAGAGCAGAGCACCCACCAAGAAAATTGCAAATGGCTAATATGCTGCGTGCTCCCTCGTGTGCAAATAGCTTGGTGTGAGGGATGACGATGCCAGCTGGTCATATCCACACTGCATGCATGAAATGTTTGAGACCATACAAGATTAGCAAATGGAGGCATGCTGAAGATAAAAGCTTTTAAATAGAGACAAAGAGACAGCTCACTAGACTACAAACTCTGTGCAGACATTATGCCGCCAATGAGCAAACTTAAGGCCCCACTTAAGCGGTTGAAAGTGGTGCTTCATTTTCTTTGTTGTTGAGCTACTGAAAGCGTTTCACACAATACCCAAGCACCAATTAAAAGGTGAAGAAATCAAACAATATCAGAGGCAAGAAATGACACATTATGAGCAATCCACAAGCAGAACTTTCATCATTGGAGGAAGAAGAACAGCAGTGACTAAATCCTCAACACACACACACACACACACTGAGAATTTGTAACACAAACACACACACACAAGCAGACAGGGCACACTGAATAAGAACAACAGAAACACAGACATCTCAGCCCACAGAGGAAATTCTTAACATTGCCAATACTGCTTATACAAAAGGAGGTCTGAAAGCAACAATATAAGCAAAGCGTCTTGTCAGAACAACACTGAGGCTCCAGATGGGAAGCTGCATCTATAGCTGCAGAAAATTGGTAAAATTCCTAAGCTGACTGACATTTAGCACTCTGTATGTGAAGCCCACATGGTGTTTCAAGGTGCACACTGGACGTATGCAGACACTGGATGGGAAGTGTTTTCTCACAGGCAGTCATGCTGTAAATCTGAGCCTTGCTTATTTAATTGTATAGACACTGTCTCCCAAAACAACATACTATACATCTATTCTACTGTATTTAACATTATGAAACAGTGGCAGTGCTCATGTGACCGTTCTACTAAGCACTATGAAACAGAACTATTTGGATATGTTTAAGAAATACAAATAATTGGCGAAGTTACGGGAAAGAAGCACGACTTCCTTCAGAATAACAATATGATTTAGTTATTTTTACTTTTGTTTCAAGAGTGACACAAACATAGTTACCTGGGCGAAGCGCACCAATTATGGCGTAGCACTCTGCCAAACATAAACAATTACCAAGTATACACGTTGCATTATTATATGTATTGATATTATAAAAATGGACAACCCAATACATGGTGATTATGATAATTCAACTAAAGTTAACTGTTCATTGATGTACCTTTTTGTCTTGATCACTCTTTGTTGGTCACAAAATAAACGCAGTGTACTTTTTTGCCAGACAATAATTGCCTTCTCTCATATATACAGTAATAGAGATATATTGGGTTCCCTGCATGAAAGCTTCCTCTCTGACCTTAGCAACATAAAGCCTGTGAAGCGCACTTTATTTATTCATTGGGTTATTCAAGTGTTGCTGTTTGTAAAATATTTCTTCATTTAGTAATGTGTCCCAGCGTTTAGCCCGCCACTGAGTGAGGGTGATGGGTCACTCTGCCTGCTGCGTCAAAGAATTTCATTTTCCTGAGCTTTAGTGGGGGGCTTTAAAGCAGCATTAGGGTCATAGTGCTTCAGAGGCTTTCAATCTTTTCAAGAATACAAAAAGAATACAAAAAAAAAAACTGCCACATGGAAAAATAATACAGACAGATGCAATTCAAACGGTACACTCTGCACCTTAGTCCATACAGTACAATCTGCTCTGCCTTTTTCAGGATTACTTTGCTTCCCAACGGGACTTTAAAGATCGCCAATGTTACCCGACGGGATGCAGCCATCTACACGTGCATCGCTAAGAATCAGTTTGGGACCGCAAGCACAAGTGGCAGGCTGCTTATCACCGGTGAGTCTTTTCTCCTTTGTTGATGTAACTATGCTGTGCTTGTGTTATGCTTTCTATTCAAGCACATCAACACTGATAACAATGGGTAGATTTTCCTTTCAAGGTTGAAGGTTACTTGAAACAATTGGTTCTTGATTTCAAACTGAAAGGACAAAGGCAGCTTCATGTTATTTACAATCAATTGGGTCTAAAAGGTCAAATGACAAGCCTTATTAGTAGATTTTATTATAAGCCTTCTATTTCTTCCAAAATACAACTGTTGACCATATCAGCTTGGACAATATCTCCAAATGAAGTAGCACTTGAAGAAGAATATGTAAATACCACTTGCGTGTCTGTACACAAACATTTGTATTCTCTGCCATTAGTTGCCTAACACAATCAATTTGCTAGCACCCATGAAGCTAACAAATTAGCATACCTACCTATTAGCATATCATGTTCGTTTAAGCTAGTATTTGTTCAGGGGGGTTAAGGGTTGGACTATTTATATCAATGGTCATTCAGTGTTGCTTGTAACCAGGAAATGGGTCTCAACAAAGAAATAGTCCAACATAGGCTCCCTATAAACATTGTATTGCTGTTGGAGCCAGGCTAGCTGCTGTTCGCCCTTTCTCCAATCTTTTTGCCAAGCTAAGTTAGCCGGCTTCTGGCTGTAGCTTTCAATATTGCCTACAGAAAATAAATATGCCTATTCCAAAACTTTCTTTCACTTTTAGAATGCATTTGAAAGCGGCATAAATCCCATTATGCTTAAGCAGTGCTCTTATACCATATTAATATTCTTTGCAAAAAAGATTGAAGCTTAAAGGTCTAGAGAAAAGTTAGCTGTTAACATGTAGGTGAACAGGAAACAAAAGAGCAGTATTGTTTTTGTAATGCAGACATTCAGCCGAATATTATATATACCCTCTACTCTTTTGAGATACCAAGTCTACTCTTTCTACATCCCTATGCACAGTTTCAGCTTTTAAATGAATCCAAAGCTTTTCCAGTCTCACTGTACCTGGTTTTGATTGAACAGACATGATTGGAAAATTCTTATCGAGGTCGGAGTTAAGCAAACGTTATTCAAAACTAAATGTCAATGATTTCTTGCCAATCTATGGCTTGATAATGTCCTCATTTATAGTCATGTAAATTACATGTGTAACGTTAAAAACCAAGGTTATTATCAAATTAAAATGTCTGGTATGAATTATGCAAAACAGCATTTAAATAAGCAGCAAAACATTATCCTTGATTTAGTTAAAGGTCGTGTCACCACATTTATAATTTCTATGACATAACACGTCCATGTAGTCCTCGCGATTAATCTATTGTGTGTAGCCACCTGACCTATTTTTCTCATTAGCTTCTATTCTTCTTGTACACTGACAGCTGAACCATTTAATGTCATGGAATTTAATTACTGTGACCTTTCCTCAACACACAACGAGGCCTCCAATCCACCATAGCCACCAGTGGGAATGCGCTCCCATCTCTGTTATCCCGCTTCAAACATTGTCCCGTCAAATTGATGCCCGAACATAAAGTGTGAACCTGATATGTCATAAAATGTTGCTAATGGACAGGCCTGGAATTTAAGTGCTTATTAAAAATCAGGAAAAGCACACATCCGTGGGTAATTTAACGATGGTGACTTGATTTAGCCGTGAATTGAAGTGAGATGGGAGTTGCCGAGGTCACGACGGTGTTAAAGGTTCCCGTGGCAGCCATATTAACATGCGTACTCTGTCGTCTGTTGTCTGCCCAGAGCCCACTAGGATCACCATGAGGCCTACTAACATGGAGATTATTGTTGGCGAGAGCATCGTGTTACCCTGCCAAATTGCCTGCGATCCAGCTCTGGATGTTTCTTTCTCGTGGGCATTCAACGGCCAGCTCATCGACTTCCAGCGAGACAGCGATCATTTTGAAAGAGTGGGCGGGGTGAGTCATCACAAACATTAAACACAGCTACGTTCGGGCTATTTGGGGATTAATTGGGACATACTGTGTTATGTGCAAGGTTATGCTCTACTGCCCTGCCTAGGTCTCCTTAGACACCAAGCAGTAATTTGTTTTGCCAAGACTGGTCCATTTGAACGGTTTCACAGTGGTCAGCAGCGGATAGTATAGAAAAAGACAGAAACATATCAGTTCAATTCCTTCAAACCCTGTCCTGTTAAAGCATTAAAGAACAGCACTGTTGGGTCAGTAATCAGGGTCAGATATATTGTTTGACGCCATTTCAGTCCTACAAAGAGTCTTCATTTATTACTGTCTTTATTCTTTTCATCCCTTAAACTTCCAGTTCTCCTTCATCAAGGGAGAACATGTTCTTATCACCTTCCTCTGCTTTAATTTAATTTGCATACCTATTTGTGAATTGTAAGCCCCGAAATAATTGAGTAATGAGCCGGCAGCAGGCATGGCACCAGAAAATGTCCATCTGAAATCCTCATTCCCTGATATAATAACAAATGACAACTCTTTGTCGGATATGTGTTCCTTTTGATGAAGGTTAAAGTAAATTGTTCGGAGTTTGTCACGCTTGAAATGACTTTGAACACAGTGCCATTTATCATCCAAGGCCAGCAGTCCAATCCCTGCCGTTCGTGTTAAAGGTTGTCCTCATGTGTTGTGGACATGCCACATATCTTTATGAATGCAAATGGCAATTACTAATGACATTGAACCGTGCACATAAATATAATGAGATATAGTTTTTATAGAATCTGTTTCCCCTGTCCAGAGAGATTACCAGCCCCCCGCTCAGCAGCTTCTGATGAATTAATTAACATAATTAAAGCAAATCTGCCTCATCACTTCCTTCCTGCCAAGGTAGGACACCTTGCTTTCGAGCATAAGCTCCCAGGTTGGCCAGGTGGCGGCTGACATTAGAGAGAGAATCAGACATGGCAGAGTGGCGTGTAAACCCTGTCAGGCGAATGCAAAGAAGATGAGAGGAAAGTTGGGAAAAGAAAAGAGAGTAGGAGAGGTAGTCTCTTCAGCCCGTGGCCGCGTGGAAGTGCCATTCGACTCGCCTCCTCTGTGTCAGGTGGTGGAGGTGGAGGTGGAGAACCACAGGCGTTCCTTTGCAGGTGCTGCATCTGGGAGCTATGATCACTACCGGGCTGATGAAATCTGCTCTGACAGCAGAAAGTATACCTGGCGCATCCCCAGGCCACTCGTTTAAAGAACAACAGTCTTCTCTTCACAGGCTGACATGTTTTTTTGTGAAAAGACCACTTCAATTGTCGGGTTTCAGTAGGTTGATTTCCACGCGGTCAAAATGGGTTAATGTGTTAACACAAAAATGAAAGTCACTTCCACCAAAGGACCAAAACCAACAATGAATTCATCCTAGCAAATGCTCCTTATACAGGGTCTAGGTGTTGTTTAAAAAAGTAAAAAAAACATTACCCAGTCATTTGATTCCAATAGCAATAGAGTACCTACTATCTTACTATTGAATGCCTTGTTTGTTCTTTATTCACTCAAGTAAAAGTAAGTAAAGTAGTTATTGACCGTTCTTGACCTCTATTCTCATCCAAAACATTTGTATACACCTTGAAAGTGTTTAAATTATTGAAATATAATGAAATAACCCAACTTTTGGTGACTGGAGAAGAATGTATACTGAATGCAAGTTTGTTAATACGGTCGATATTTTAAAGGGACTGACAATTTCATTATGAGAATGTAGTCCTTTATTCGGATCAGTGAGTTTTTCAGTGGTTGTCTTTGGTTGCCAAGCTAAAAGATATTGCTATAAGTAGAAATGTGTTAAAGTCTTATTTAGTACCCTAAATTTGGTTTGGCAACAAAAGCTTTTGCCCTGTTCATCTCAATTATTGATTTTGTAGGAACCGGGTACATAACAAGATTTGTTTCAGGATTTAAAGCCTAACAATTCCTTTTTTGTGTGTGTGTTGTTTCTTCATTACAATTGGGACACTCAGCATGGGCACTGTTGTTTTTTAAGATTAATATCACATACAATGTACTACTGCTGGAGGTAATAAAGCAGACATAAGAGCACCGAATGTGCTAATTCAAAGCTTAAAATAGTCCAGAACAAATGAAGCAAACTCTACTAAAGAAGAACAATAGTTTAACTACAGTGTCCGCCTGTTACAGGATATTATCTTGCCTTGAAAAATAAATGATATACAGTGATGTTTAAAGAAATAACAAAAATGAAAGTCTTCAGTGTAAATCAATGAGCTCGGGGCTGAGTAGCACAAACAGGGTAGCAAAGATATTAAGTATTAAGTAGACATTCAAGGGCACTGTTGGTTTTTAGTCTTTTTATGAGATTTGTTGACAATAAGGAAATGTAGAAAACAACAGTCTTATGCTCTGAAATTGTAGGGCTTTGCAACCGTAAATAATAGAAATGTCCGTAAACAGATTAAATAGATACTAATATTATTCCTGATGTTCTCTCTTGGCCGAAACATGCATCCAACGTATGTTAAAACATATTTGCTTGGTGTTATACTCATATCTTGCTTGAGCATAATGTTATTACAGAGCAATTAGGATTGTCTTTCCAATTAACTGTGTTTGTTTTGTGTGTCCTAGCTACTAGCTGTTTGTTGGGGTTTGGGGGGGGGGGGCTGGTTGGTCAGGTAGCACCTGAAGGACAGCCAAAAGCATTATTTGTGCCGAGCACATCTGCCATGTCTGTTGTTGGTGTTTGAAGAGATGCAAACAGCAGCAGCCTGGAGACTATGCGATTGTGGAAAGCATAATAAATGTTTCAAAAGTCCTAGAGCTAAAATCTACGTGATGAAATAACACTGCATCTCTTACTTAGCCTTATTTTTTTTATTCAACGATCATATTCCTTTCCAGAGTATATCAGGGGATCTAATGGTTCGTAACATCCAGCTGAACCACGGAGGAAAATATGTCTGCGTTATTGACACTGATGTGGAGAGCCTGACCACCTCTGCCATCTTAGTTGTGAAAGGTAAGATAACCACTTGAATTAAAAGCATATTTTTATCAAGCCTTTTATATTTTTCTGTAAATCACGAGACATTTAATTTCGATGCATAAGTGGGTCTTTTTTGACCCGGTGAGGTGGTTTTCTTGAAGTATCTTTGCAATTCAATTTTTTTATTATTTCATATTCCAGCTATTCCTCAAAAAACATGTTTTGGGTATCATGCCATTCAAATTTGATATGTAAGTGTTATACATTTTAAGAAATTGTAGTTTTCGTATTACTACTCCAAGCTTCCATAAGTGGGTCAAAAATGACCCGCATGCATTTTCTATGGAATTTCGTTTTTTTTTCAAAATGTAAAATAAATGTCTATAATTATAAATAGTGAAAAATTCAATATAAAATATTTCTAGTGTGAACCAAAATATAATACAAAATATTATACAAGTGATTTTTCTTAACCAAAATGACAAAAATGGCATAAAAACACATATTATTCTATTACGGGTCCTTTTTGACCCACTTATGGAAGAGTGTAGGGTCCAGTCACTCGTGCATCTAAGGGTTAAAGTAGGAAATCTCCTTTATTTGGTTTAATGTAGCTAGTCCTTAAAAAATATACAGAAAAATGCTTTGACCTTAAAAAATGTCAAAGAAATGCAGAGGTTTTCAACTGAAACCAGTAAAAGTATCCCAAATAATTGAATAGGAATCACCTATTGTAAACATCAACAATTGATGGCCTCCAATTATTTCCACATTCTCCCAAAGTGTGTCTAAGTGGCGTCCATTCCCCAATTGAATTACTTTCCACACCTCAATGAGCTCATGTAGCCATCAAAAGGTCCTATTTGGGTTTCCCAGAGAACATGCCCGAAGGCTTGGAATCTAATCCCGATCTGTGTCGGAGAGACCAAGTGGGCCCATCAAAACCGTATCCCCCTGACATTCAGCCCCTTACTCTGCGCTCATGTCTTTGTCCAGTCAGTGGAGATGGGAAAACTCTAAAGGAAGAAAATGAAAAAGTCCTAAAAACATAGTTTGTTCCATTTTTGAGAATCAGAATCTTTAGGTAACCACATGCAAGGAATTAGCTTTTTTGGATGAAGGCACACAAACAGTTCTTGTCAGTGGAGGTTACATTTTGAATAAGAATAAACCACCTGAGGCTTCAAGGTTACTCAAACAATTTGATTTATTTCACTTATTTAATACCTACTTTTTATACAGTTGGTAGTTATGACACATAGACTGCAGGAAACAATTGATTATTCCAGTGAAATTGAGCTGTGTTTTAAATAATCAGGATCAACACTGCTAAATCTATCATGGCCATTAAGGCAGCCTGATTAGGAACAAATGACTAATTGCAATTGTTTAGACTGATAACGCAGTTGCATAATTATATGCGATTTGAACCAGAGTTATTATTGTTTTAACATTATTTACATTATAACTCAAATATGTATAAAAATGATCAAGGTGTGATCTGTATAATATATTTTTTTCTTCTATATATATAGTTTTTCTTCGGGAGGGATTGCAGCACAATATAACTTCAATCAGAATTATATTTTCACATATTTTGCCTGTAACAAATATTTCAATAAGGCGCATTAGTCTATACTACATACTAATACATTTTGATTAATTGTGCAGCACTAACAGCCGTGGATTAATATAAAACAAATTGAGATATCCATCTTCAGATTCAGACTGCAATAAGGAATCCCCAAATATAAAAAAACCCATACATTATGATCTGGTGAAATGTTTTATCCCCCTCTGGCGACATAGTAGACGCGTATAAAGAGCATATGGTGCTCTGGGAATGAATTTTGTTAAAACCAAGTTGTCCAAAATGTTTTGAAAATCGACGTTGTAGCCTGAAGGCTTTTGTTTTTATGGGTTGCTGTTCCCCCGTGTCCTGTAGAGTTTCCAGCTCCACATTTTCCCACTGAACGCAGGCCACATTTGGTTCCAGCAGTGGATGCTCTGAGTGGGTTTCTCTGGCAGATAGCTGGGATTCCTCTGCTCGAACATCCTTAGCCCCAGGCAGCAGCGTTACCTCTCCCCCACACTCAGCCAGTACCTCACATATGCCATGGGTACAGCTCTTATCCAAAGTGGATAGAAAAACAATATAAGATGACTGTCTAAACGTGTATTAAGTGTATGGATTACTTAAGAGGACAAAATGTACGGTGTAGTCAGGAAAACATGTACGAGGAGTGGCCTCAGAGGGACCAGAAGCCAGTCTACTCAGAATGACTCCCCTAACCCTTCAGTGGTAGAGAAACCTTTAACCCTCTTAACTCGCAATCAAAAGCCTGTGAATATTTAGTTTATACAAACTGAAGGACTCACCAAGCTGTTTGTATTTATTGCAGTGGCAAAGAGTACATTAGAAATTGCTGGACTATTATTTAGAACAAAAGCAAGAATAGTATAGTTATTTATTTAAAAGAAAAAAAGTGTGATCTGAAATATCAGCTGAAAATGTCGTAGTAAAGGATAGATTTTTGATATATGTAGCCATTGCTATCCTTTTTGTCCAAATGAAAAAATGCAGTGGTATTTGTTTTTGACGCCAATTTGAAAGCTCATATCAATGTTTTATTTTTGATGTAAATAATATAATGGATTAAGATATTGGTGATATGACCTATATTGGTTTTGTTTCTTGACTAAGTACAGAAATATAAATATACAAAACAAATGTTCTCACCACTTTTTATGGCTTTTAAATACCTCTGTCTGTAATCCTGTTCTCTCTCCCCTTCAGATCCGCTGTGCAGAAAGCGTTGCCGGGCCTGAGGTCCATCGATGGCCAGCAGACAGACTCCTCTCTAGCGCCCCCTGCTGTTCCTCAGCTCGGCTCGGCCTCAGGCAGCTTCCTGATGTTCTGCCAGGCTCAGCTTCAGCAGACTCAGTATTCACAGCAGCAGCTCAGCAGGGAGCTCAGGTAGGAGACTGATGACTGACTGTCAGGGGGCTGGGTGTCCAGAGTGAATGAGTGCAGGTCCTTCCAGTGGTCAGTGTTCAGATAGGTGTCTTATTCTGAAATCCACTGTAAATTCTTCCTAGATCTGTCATGGAACAATGAGGGGAAAAAAAATATCTGTGATTGTTATAGTTAACTCGGATAAGTCACATCATTTTCAACATTGATATTTTTCTCGAATGCTGACATCAGTGATTTTCCGCTTAATTGGATAACACACATCATCTGTCTTGGCGAACTAACATGTCAAAAGGAATGGTTTCTGAAGCAGCTAATGCGACAGAATGAGGGAAAAGCTCAGCTCGGGTTTGTTCATTCCAATTTGTCTTCTCCTAATATTACAGAGACATGTTCTCTCTTCTTTTGACTTGTAATTTATAACTACTATGTGTGAAGTGATACACAATTCCACACCAAATTAGCAAGAAAATTCCTAGAAAATACCAATTCTCTAACGGTTTTTCCTCTTGATTCAATCAGCTCTGTTTGTTTGAAGAAAAAAAAAACAAAAGCAACTTGCAAGGCACGAGGAAAAGCCCTACATGGATTACAACAAGGGCTGCACAGTTATTCAAAATGTTATCCAAATTGCATTATGGACTAGTGCATTATCAAAATCGCAGTCAGCGCAATATTTGTTGAAAAATATTTGAAAATATCTGAATGAACTATTGTGGAGTTGTTGAGATGTCCCGGCCACAACAAGACTTGTTTGGGATCCTCTTAAAAAAAAAAGATAATTCCCTCAGTCAAAATAATTGCAATTTGTTATTTTTTCAAAAAATGGGATCACATTGCAAACCAGACTAAACTGAACAGGATAAGCGAATTCAAATGACTACGAATCTATTGACAAGGTTTCACATTACGCGTTTCACGTTGTGCCGATCGGCCCGCGGGACAGACAGACACGCAGCCGTCAGGAATGTCAGCTGTCCTCTTGTTATGTCTGATACACAGGGCGTAGTGAGGCTTAAGACAACGTCCATCTATTTTCACAAGTCCTTGTATGTCGCTGGCCTCTGCACACTTTGACGTTCCTCTGCGAGACGGACCACCAACACTTAAAACGGTGGTCAGCTCTCTGCTTATCTTCGTGACCCCTCCAAATTACTCGGCACAAAAGATGAAACGTGGCGGCGGCTACCAGCCCGGGTCACAGCGAGGACTCCTATGGCTCGGGGGGTCCCTCTGCTTCACCCCTCACTGTTTGCCCTCTACCCCCCTGGCCTCTGGACAATGATCCTTTCTGCGGACTTTGCAAGGACCAACGCGGCCATTTAACCCCCGGCCTGACCTTGTGTCTGACTGAGGTTCAGAGGAGGTGAGCAGAGTGCCACACGCCGCCGCGCTGTGACTGTAAGGTGGGACGCCATGGGGTTTATCAGGGGTCCGGTTTCACAACTTGTCTCTACAGGGTGCAGAGTGCAGGCAGAATCCTTTGTTCCTCACACAAAGCCTACATTAAATACCAAAACGGTCCTTTTTATGCATTTTTCCGAGCAACTTAAATCTCTTTCTATTAATACAAAGTTCAAGAAGTACAAACAGTTCTGTGTTCTAGAGATGTATGACGGGGAATCCATACCAAAGTTAGAAAGTGAAGTTATATGTGTAGATTATTTTAGTGTCTGTTTTTTTCCACTTGCTATGTTCTGTCTTCACCAACCAAACCATGTAAAAGACCCTCTGAGAGATAAGGATGAGTGCAGCAGAATATAATGAATTTTCTCTTCAAACATAGAAATGGCATATGGCCCCGGTTAGGAGACAAAACACTGCAGCTATTTAACAAAATACTTTACCTGGATGTAATTTATCTCTGGCACGAATGTCCGATGCGTCACGCACACCCAACGTAACCTGTGATGTACAAAGAGAAGTGGATACAGAAAAATAGCGGGGAGCTTTGAATACATTTTTACCATAGGCTTCATATAGAGACTAAATTAGTCCGTCACCTGATGCTGTTGTGCCCAAAATACTTTTCCCCCTTACATTTACATTAGGATAGACGTCTGTAAATCAGATCATTTTTCAGAGTCATGTGGCTGGCAGGTGGGGTTATATGAAATGTTAGTGCATATATTCTATGGACCTAAAGTAAGAAAGATCCAGGTACTTTTATACCAGGAAGTCATACTTTCTTTAGCTTTATGAGCTTCTGAACATATTTTATAGGCATGAAAGGGGCCCCCGCCTCCAACACAATCCCAGTACCCCCAAAAAATACATTCATATTGGTTTTGTATTGGTATACTGGTCTGCTTTGAGGATAGGAAAACATGTCTACTTTAAAGGGGACCTATCATGCAAAATGCACTTTCTGATGTCTTTTATACATAAACATGTGTCCCCGGTGAGTCGGGGAACTCACGCAGCGTCAGAAAATAAAACCCTCTCTCTTTTCCTCCGTACCCAAATCTCTAAAAACGGGCTACAACGGAGCTGATCCAGATTTGCGTCCGATATGACGTCATATCTGAAATGTGGACCCACGGCCCTATCAGAAAGTTGCTATCAGAAACAATGCCCGACTGTTTTGGACGTAATATGGTGGGTGTTTACATTAGCATCGCTAACACTCAGAGCTAACCTGTACTGGAGAGCATGTGTGTGAAGAAGCAGGAAATAAAAAGGAACCCACCTGGTGGTATAACCGGCAAGAGAGAAAACCTTTGAGCTCCATATTGTTTCAGAAATAATCCTTGATAATCCATGATATGGCGTTTCATCACGGCAGTATTTAGTTTAGACAGTAGCTGCCGGGTCCCGCATGAGCTCAGCCCCCTCCCTTTTTTTAATCTATTTTTTTAAAGCTTTATACCCCAAATCAGCGCTTTTGAAACAGGAAGTGAAATAGAGGGATATGAGGCATCTGTTTGGTATTTTGAGCAAAACACTTCATAGACATGTTTTTTATATTTTTTTATATATCTGAGACCTATGCTATTGCCTAAAAATACATGATGGGCTGAGACTGCCAAGGCACACNCTTGATTGTCACGTGGTTCAGAGAGACTCAGAAAGTTCCCGGAAGTTTGTGGCGGGCCATTTGAATCACGATTTGAATGCATTAATAACAGGATAGAATTTCTATCCTGTTATTAATGCATTCAAATCGTGATTCAAATGGCCCGCCACAAACTTCCGGGAACTTTCTGAGTCTCTCTGAACCACGTGACAATCAAGCATTTTGGACTTCCGCTGTCGCAACTCTTCTCTCTACATGGTGCTGGACCAGCCAATCAGAATTGACCTTCTCGAGTTCTCCGATTGGTTGGTTTCGTGGCACATTTGTAACGCTGTGACAACTTGAGCGAGCACAGGCAAAGCTGAGCGCGCACAGGGTGGAGAGGTCGAGCGAGCGAGGGAGAGAGAGCGCGTGCAGCGGTCTGCTTGCGCACGGAGCAGGAGTTTTATGAGAGAAAATATATTTCTCTGTGCTCAAAAATGTTCAAGTGTGCGCTCAATCTTATTTTCTATGCTCAACATGTTTCATTGCGTGCTCAGGATAGAGGCACAAATATAACGCCATACACATCAGGCTATGCACTGACACACAGGTACACACACACACACACTGAGCCCATCTGTGTCCTATGCCATACTGGTTGCCCTTGTACTCTTTTTCTCCACAGACTGACTTTTGTAACGCGACCACACGAGTGTGTTGGAGAGAAACTCAACACAGGGATTTTAGCCTTTGCAGACCATTTAAATGCACACAAACCTATAGAACACACTACAGGGAAGTGGAAACTCCAAAAGCATAATGAGGCCCTTTTCGGCAAAACAAGTTCCTTCAGAAACTTCAGGTAGGAACAGAAACATTAACTCTGACTTATCATAATGGAAGTAAATGACTTTGTGATGTGATGGAGTTGACATGTAGGGTCAACTCTAAACCAGGCGAAAAAGCCTGTAAACAATACTTTCTTTTTAGACGATGATTAGATTATAACCTTCTATAGACATGTAGTCATGGTTTCCTGAACATATCTGTGCAAGCAGCAGCAGGGCCAAAAGGGTTTGGGGTCAGTTACTTAATAACCTGATTGCATCAAAGGGATTGCAAAAGGATGAAACAGCTTCTTGTTCAAACATTTGTTAAGAACAGGTATGAACTACTCAAAAAGTATCACTCTTTGTGCTCACTTCCTAAAATGGCAAAGGTTAACATTTTTCAGGAGAGGCTCTTGTGTCAGGTCATTTTAACTCTCTGAAGTGGCCTGGCTTCAGTTCTCCTCATCAGTGCTACAATTTTAAGTGACCATTTGCATTTATCTATAATGGTCTTCTGGCACCATGAAAAGTAAAACTGGGTTGTTAGATTTTGTTCAGCTGTCCGAGTTGTTTTACCTCCTCAAACAATGTGAGTGCAAGTGTGTTTGTCTTTCTCTGTGATTGTTATCAAGGTCTTGTTTTCCCTCTGGTGCACAGAGAGGGGCACACCCCACACACACACACACACACACACACACACACACACACACACGTAGAGGCAGTTTCCCCTCTCCGGTCAGAGTTTGTTTGTGTGGGTGTGTACATGTGTGAAAGCAAATGTGTACCAGTGAAAGGTACACACACATAAATCACATAGGCACTCAAACAACCATTACTTATTCATACCCATCGATACCTCCTTCATTCCATACAATCAAAACGCTACAATTAGTGTAGTGTTGTAACACATCTTAAAACGCTCAGTATTTCTAACTTTTAAATAGGCACGCCCCTGGAGAAATCACAACAAGCCATTATGAATAATAACCTAAATGTTTTTGCAGGCAGCTTCATAATCAAATGTTATCACCGGGTAATAAAAGCAATACATCCGATTTTCATCCATACAGAGACCATAAGCCAAACTTAATTAAAAAACCTGCCAATTTAATAGAGCTGTCACTTAGACAAGGTGTGGAGCACGCCTTTAAACCCTCCTATACCTCAATAGAGTCAGTTGACAGCGGATACACTTAGCCTTATTTACTTTTAAACATAATTTACTTTAAGTGTGTATACACAAAACGTAATACTGTCAAGGATAGTCGTTCTGATGAAGAAATAACAAGCAAAAACAATCATACATTTGGGATAAAAGTGAACAAATTACATGCAATGAACTACAGGTGTGGTGCTGAATTAATGCGTATACACTAAAAGATATCTGAACCGGTTTTAAATATTGTTATATAAAGGCTGCCTCTCTGTTCATTGTAAGGCAACTTTAATTCCGTGAGTTTCGAGGAGGTTTTGGTTTGGCATTCCCTGTATCCCCATATTGGCAGGTATAAGCTAACCTGTTAGCTGCTTAATTATTATTGTAACTTACCTATGACTATTCTGAGATGTTTCAGTCTTGTCAACACGTCCTTCTTTGGGTCCAACACTTTCTGTGTTGATTTTTTAACGTCCCCATGAGGCTTTTTGGAGAACATTCCTGGGGCAGGAGACACAAGAATGCGATAGTAGGGAGAAGCTAGCTGTGTAGCCGCTCAGACAGCTCGAGATAATCTGTAACTATACCGACAAACCCTCGCGCCTGGATGATGTATTAACGCTGCGAACTAGCAGCCCTCCGACACAGCGCGGAGTTTATCAACGGGTGAATTGACGTAGACGCATTGTGTTCATACTAAAACAGATATGTAAAACGTAGCAGGGCAAAGCATCCATCCATTGCACCTCCCTTCCACAACAGTCCGCAGCCTGAAGGCTAAACTAGCTGGTTAGCTACTTAGCTCTGCTGTTCAGTCGAAAACATCATGGCGGAGCAGGCAGGAGGGAAAACAAAATAATGGACGCCAGATAAATTAAACGTCATAATAGTTCAACAATAAGCTAACTTTACATACTCTATTCGAAATAATAACTGTATAATTGTAACAAAACGGCAATATACTTTTAAAACAAAGGTTGTTTTAAATGTAACTAGTGGTAACGTTTTAAAAGCGTTTAGACAAGTTTTGCTCGAGCTTTCCCCCTTAAGGTACAGGGCTGATGGGTAACGTAGTTCACGGCAGGTTGTTAGAACTTAGGTTATGTTAACATTGGCAAGACATAAGACTACAGCTCCCAACACAAATAAGAGCGCCCTACGAACATTTGTTTTTAGCTTAGCTGAGACACACGAGTGACATTCTAACCGAGCGAGGGAAAATAAGTTATTTTAAGCTTATTTTTGAATTATTTAAACAATCTTGCAAACGTCTTGCACGACCCCATATTGTGAGTTGCGGTTTTATTTTTTATTTTCAACTTCCTTGTTAATATGTGTGTGTATCAAGTCGTGCTAAGGTGCCTGCTATCTGAATAGCTAACATGCTAAAGCAATGCTAACTGATGTGTTTTCGTTTGTTATTGTGTATTTAACTTGTATATTTTTATTATTTAAAGGAAACCCGATTTCCCAGTCAATTAAAACTGCTTTGCATAGTTTATATTTTAATATATTATCTCAAGCAATATGACAAAGCCATCTACAGTATATTTTATGTATGCACCATGACATTAAGTCAAATTCCTCGTATGTGTAAACCTACCTGGCAATACCCGTTTCTGATTCTGACAAACAGGGGTTCATTCTCGTTTTTAGGGATACTCATTGAGATAACAGCATTTCGCGCAACGTATAAGACGTTATTTTCCAACATGATCGATTATAGGTATGCAGATAAATGACGGAATGTATATGTAATATATTTTTTTCAGGCATCTTTCGACCGGAAGAAAATGTCAGTGGCTATCCCTGCATCACTGCCTAGGGTTAATACCTTTTTATATATACGGTCTATGGTTAATACAGAGTCAAAAAAATGTATACAAAAATACATGTAAATCAAATCTAACTAAGTGTTGGAATGATGCTCATCAAACAACACTAACATGACGAGTTTGTCACTGTACATCTGAGCAATAATCAGGTGTTCCTTATTCTTATCTGCATTAATACTAATACACCACTGTATTTATCGTAATATGTTGTTATATGCTGTATATGATTTACTACAATGTGCACATTTGTACTCTACCTTATTGTGTTTATATACATATACAAATGTCATCGCACGTTTTGACTTTAGCTTCTAACGATTGTATAAATATATTGAATCAATTTTATTAAAACAAATTCTAAAATGGAGCAACTGCCTAGATAAATAAATAATGCTATTTTCATGTCTGGCGAAAGAAAATTGTAATGAATGCCTTTTTAAAAAATGGAATTATGAAACTGCTAAATGACATTGTTTCTCTCTGTCTACCAGTCTGGAGTGGAGCTGCTGCCATGCCGGTGCACCGGGACCGGGAGAAGAAGGAGAGCACGGCCGAGGAGATGGAGGTGGAGGAGCACGAGCAGGAGGCGTCCAGCTCCGAGGAGGAGGACTCCGACACCTCCTCCGTCTCCGAGGATGGAGACAGCTCTGGTGAGAGAGTCTGAAACCGTATGAAACCAGCACAACATTCTTATTCAGTAGAAATGTTAATGAAATACACATTATTTCAGTGTATGAACTGAAGTATTATCTTTTATTTACGTCTGCAATCAGTTATTGTAACTTTTTTAAAACATCATCAACTTAAACACTTTATTCAGAATTTGATCTAATTTCGATTTGATTTTTGCCACCAAAATTGTAAATCATAACAAAATAATAAAAACTCTCTGATGACATGTTTTGCTCCCTTATCCGCTCATTAAACTGCTTCCCAGTGTCAAAGTGTGTGTGTGTTTTGATCATGTTCCAGAAATGGACGAGGAGGACTGTGAGCGGAGGAGGACGGAGTGTTTGGATGAAATGACCAACCTGGAGAAACAGTTCACCGATCTCAAAGACCAGTGAGACTGAAATAGATTATTTGTATCTTGAGACTGTAAGATTATTAACTTTAAGTCATTCAAAGTCATTTGCCATGGTAACGTGTGTGTTTGTGTGCAGGCTGTATCACGAGCGCCTCAGTCAGGTGAACAGCAAGCTGACGGAGGTGGAGGCCGGCAGGGCGGCGGAGTATCTGGAGCCTCTGGCCGTGCTGCTGGAGAACATGCAGGTCCGCACCAAGGTGGCAGGTAAACTCTAAACACACACACACACACACACACACACACAAACACACACACAGGCCGTGTCTCGTTTCTGAGATTCTTCTCCTCGACTCCCCTCTTCGACTCCTATCCTCGAGACTTAGTCCCGCCCACAGGAGATGCGAGCCGAGGAGCCGAGGAGGGGAACCGAGGAGAGAGGAGGGGAAGCAGCAGGCGGTTAGAGAAATGAGAACTCCTCTCCTCTGAGCGGTCATTTTAAAGAGACGTCCATTAATGATGACAGGAGGCACAGCAGCACTCTGTCTGATGGACAGATGTGTTCATGATGACTTATATATTTACTTTTAATTCATTCACAGTGCGGTATAATGAGACAATAACAGGCTAAAGATGCGGACACACACACACACACATATATTTATATAAATAATATATACAATTTCAGAATCAAACAAGTATGAGTGCACTCTCATAATAACGTAACACAATCAGAGACTGGATATATCCCCCCCTTCTCTCCTCTCTGGTCGCTACAATGAGGAAAATAAATTACGGGCCAAAAGTCTTATTTACAAGTATTAAAAGTAAGCAGAGGACACCAAACCAACTGAGACCCGTCTGTCCGCCGCATCTACGCACTGTACAACACACACACATACCTACACACTGTACCACACACACCTACAGCTCCTAAAGCATATTATCAGGCTACAGCCGTTGTGTATTTTATTATGTGAAGCACTAAAAATATTGACTCTTTGTTTGTAGCTATCTACTAAACTAAAGCAAATAAAGAGAGTAGGCCTGTTATACTGAGTGATATTATACACAATGCTCTGCTTTCTGCACAGACCTCACAGCTGTTCTCTCTGGAAACATCGCAACGCGATGAAAGCAGTTTCTAAAATAATATCCAGGGAATGCATGCAGAGCTGTCATTGGCTGAGATAAGTCCGGCCGTGCGTCACGCCTCCACCTTTACCGGAAATGCAGGAGGAGGAGGAACCATCGAGGAACCATCAGTGTCTCCTCAGTTAGAGCTCCTCCAGAGAGCCTCCTCGACGCTCGAAGTACACCCCCTCCCGCACCCTCCGCTCTTCATCCGTAGAACTTCTCACCGTCCCAAGCTATCGCCTCAAAACCATGGGTGCTCGAGCTTTCAGCTGCTCGGCTCCCAGACTCTGGAACTCCCTGCCACTACACATCCGACAGTCTGATTCCATAACAACATTCAAAACCCAACTCAAAACCCACCTGTTCAAACTGGCATTTTCTTTTATAATCTGTACTCCTGTGTCCTTTTTGTGTTCTCTCTTTGTAGTCAATTTCCTGTTGTTTGTCTTTTCTTACCCCGGTGCTGATATTCTCACTCACTAAATCCACTGTTAATCTCGTTTCCTATTATGCCCCTATTGCCCTGTGAGCCTGTCCCTTTGGGTGTTATGAAAGGCGCCCCCCAAAATATGAAATGTATCTATTATTTTATTATAGAGAGCATCTGTATATCCTTTTACAGTGCCTCCACTAGAGAGATCCTACCTTCTACGAGGTGCACCATTACGAGAGCACATGACTTTATCTATCAGGTGCACCCCTAGAGAGGATCCTGCTGTACCTTCTACAGGTGCTACCCTAGAGAGAATACCTGACCTTCTAAAAGGTGCACCCTATGATGAGATCACTGACCTCTCTCTTACAGGTGCGACCATAATGAGAGTGAGATCCTGGACTTTTCTATCTACAGTTGGACCATAGAGAGCATCCTGAACCTTCTACAGGTGCACAGCGACTCAATAGAAGAATCATGACTACATCTGTACAGGTGCACCAATACGACGAGAAGCATAATGGATCCCCTCGCACCTACAAATAACCTAATAATATACCACTCGTTACAAACTCTCCGTTATAGCTCTGGCTCATGTCACCATAATATGCC